TCTAACCCTAACCCTTTCATTACCCTCAAACCCTAACACTATGGCACTCTGCCTCCTAACCCCAAACCCTAAATATACTAAAGACCCTGAAACTCTAACCCTAACCCTTTCATTACCCTCAAACCCCTAATACTATGGCACTCTGCCTTCTAACCCCAAACCCTAAATATACTAAAGACCCTGAAACTCTAACCCTAACCCTTTCATTACCCTCAAACCCTAACACTATGGCACTCTGCCTGCTAACCCCAAACCCTAAATACTAAAGACCCTGAAACTCTAACCCTAACCCTTTCATTACCCTCAAACCCCTAATACTATGGCACTCTGCCTTCTAACCCCAAACCCTAAATATAATAAAGACCCTGAAACTCTAACCCTACCCTTTCATTACCCTCAAACCCCTAATACTATGGCACTCTGCCTTCTAACCCCAAACCCTAAATATAATAAAGACCCTGAAACTCTAACCCTAACCCTTTCATTACCCTCAAACCCCTAATACTATGGCACTCTGCCTTCTAACCCCAAACCCTAAATATAATAAAGACCCTGAAACTCTAACCCTAACCCTTTCATTCCCCTCAAACCCCTAATACTATGGCACTCTGCCTTCTAACCCCAAACCCTAAATACTAAAGACCCTGAAACTCTAACCCTAACCCTTTCATTACCCTCAAACCCTAACACTATGGCACTCTGCCTTCTAACCCCAAACCCTAAAGACCCTGAAACTGTAAACCCTGTGCCAGGTCTTCTTCATCCTCGTCTTCTCGAAAAAAACATTAGTTTTTTTTGTTTTAAAGTTTTTAAAAAATTTTAAAAGTTGTTTAAAGTCTTTAAAAGTATTTCAAATTCTTTTTAAAGTTTGTAAAAGCTTTTAAAAGCGTTTAAAAGTCTTTTAAAGTATTTTTAAAGCTTTTAAATGTCTTTTAATGTTTTTAAAAGTCTTTTAAATATTTTAAAAGCCTTTTAAAGTTTTGAAAAGTCTTTTAAAGTTTGCAAAAGTCTTCTAAAAGTTTCTAAAAGTCTTTTAAAGTCTTCTAAAAGTTTTTAGAATGTTTTTTTCTTGCATTTTAAAGTTTTTAAAAGTCTGTAAAAGTCTTTAAAAGCCAACTCTGTCGAAAAAGCCCTGTGGATCTAAACCTTGTGGTTCTGGTTCGGTGCAAAGGGGCAATGAAACAGGCAGGTGCAATTCAGCACTAGCCACGGCCTTAAAAACCACTTTGTCACTCAGAAGCACAACCCGGCACTCAGTGCCACGCCGGACCCCCACACTCCTCCCCCTCCTCCTCCCCCCAAGCTCCCACAGGAAATTCCTCTTCCCCCCAGCAGTACCAGGACCAAAGGTATAGACAAAGCAGCCGGCTTCGAGCCGCCACCCTCCCCCCCGTGCCCTTTCACTTCCTCAGCAGCTGAAAAGGCGGCTTTCAAAGCAGGCCAAGCAGAGACACCGAAGGCGGCCCCGGCGCTTCCGGTTAAGGCCCCACCGCCCATGGTGACCACCCAATGCCCCCCGCCCTCTTCATCCTCGGCGGCTCCAGCTCCCCCTCCGGCGATTCCAGCTTCCCCGATCCTTCCGCACCCCCCCAAGTCCGTCTCTCCCCCAACCCCCGCCACCCAGGCCGCTCCGCGCTCCCACACGCCCCCTCCTCCTTCTTCCCGTCCCCCGTCAGCATATGAGCCTCCGGAATCCAATGCGGAACTCGTCGGCTATGTCCCACAGCCGGCTCCACGGCTGACAGTACGTTACACGCGGCAGGAGCTGGCTCAGCTGCTGAGCTCCCAGTCCCATCAGGACTGGATTCGGGCCTTGGCTTCCATCAACATCCTGGTGGCTCCGGTCATTCTTGGCGGCCTCACCAACCAAGAACAACAGACCCTTTGGTCTACCAGGATGGAAGCACTCCGAGAAGTTCCGCCGCTGTTCTCTGCCATCAAGTCCGTAAGGACGCAAACCGGCCTCACATGGGACACCGCCATGTCGGTGAGGCGGGTCCTCACAAGCGATGGGAAGGTCACCATCGCCACAGGCGCGGGTGACGCCTACCGTGAGCTGGACGCACCAACAAAGGTGCATGGCCTTATCCATGCCTGCTTCAACAAGATGTGGGACGAAAAGGCCTTTCGGCAGCACTTCCCCTCGTGGGTCGAGTTCAATATGATCGCCACCACCATAGTGGCAGTCTACAATGAGACGGCCAAATCAGCTGGACTCCCAGCTCGTGTTTTCCGGGTCAAACCCGACAAAAATGCCTACTCCATCATGAAGATGCGGATACAGCATGACAAGGGGAACGAAGAGGACAAGCGCATGGCCAAACTGGCTGCTGCTGCCCCCAACAAGCGCCCACAGATGCAGGAGGCTGACACAGAGGGCAAGCGGCAGCGTGATGGCCCCTCCTCATCTTCCTCGTCCCAGTGGGCCAGACAGGCACGCTCATCTCAGGATCGAAATCAGGTTCAGTTGCTCATGGACGACTGGGACTGGTGGCAGCAGTGGTCCTGGCATGGTTACTCTCAGCAGTGGCCAAAAGGTCATGACCAGTGAGGGCGGTAATATGTCACAGACTCTATGATCCCTTATGTCACAGACTCAGGGAATTCGGCACTCTTCCGACGCCTAGCACATCTCTTCGGAAGAATGTGAACCGCGTGCTAGCCTCGCTTAAAACAGCACTTTGCGCTTCAGCGAGTTGCCCACATCCAAGCTGCCCAAAGTCTCACGCCACCGGAGTTGCTTCAGGTACCAGCGGTCATCCGCACATGACCCTTACGGCCTTCTGTCTTCAACATGAGTAATCCGTGTGGGACGCCACGAGACGGATACTCCAGGTGGCGGCTTCGTCTGAGGTACGGCCTAATTGTTGAGACAGGTGCACAGATGGACGCGTCTGTTCACACCAAGGTGTCGGAGAAGGAAGCTTTTTGTAGCAGTAGCAGTTGCAGTAGTATGTCAAGTTCGAGCTGATTAGAGAGACCTGAGCGATGCATGCTAGAAGCAGTTTCACGAGTGCACGAGACCAAAGGCGCCCGCAAAGCGCAGAGCACGCTCGCGCAGCGTTCAATTGAAAATAGTAGTAGTAGTAGTAGTAGCAGTAGTAGTAGTAGTAGTAGTAGTAGTAGTAGCAATAGTGGTAGCAGCAGTAACAAGAGCAGTAGTACTGTAGAGGTAGACGTGGGATGCTACCCTAAGAACCCTAAAAGCCCTAAAATCCCTTAGGTCTCCCTCCTTTTTTATCCTTGGATTTTGGGAGATTTGCCGGCCTGCAGCTCAAAGTAGCTGTCCACGCCCACTTCGCGAGTGATCTGGTTTGCCTGCGGGAGGCTTTCGGGTTTCCCTTTAAGGGTTCCTTTAAGGGTTCCCTTTAAGGGCTAATTTAAAGGTTCTTCTTAGGGTTTCTTGAAGGGTTCCAAAAAGGATCCCTTTAGGGTTCCTATGAGGGTTTAGGGTTTAGGGTCGTAGGGTTTAGGGCCCGAGATCCTACGGAGGTCTGCTTGGAACGCCTAAACCATTAAACCCAAAACCCAACAACTACACCCTCAATTTTGAAGTCAACCCTAAGCCCCAAACCAAGCCCTAACCCTGAATGTAACCCTAACCCCTAAACTAACCCTAAACAATTGGGAGCCTATGAGGTGCAGGCCTGAAGATCGGAGGTTCGGCGCTTAGGGCTAAGTGCCTGGCTTTATTACAGGTATAAGATAGATTTAGGGGCTTTAATGAATAACACCGGCAGGGTTTGGGGTTGTGTTATACTATGAATAAGAAGGCGCACGAACATACACCCCGAAACATCGCCAGCGCCCCTTAGCCCAATGGCAGGATGGGCCAGAATCCTCGTCCCTAAACCCCTAAAACCCTAAACCCCTTAAACCCCTAAGCCCCTAAACCCTAAACCCATGGCTTTCCGGGCTTGCTGGTTTTGAAACCAGCTTTTTGCTTTCGGACTCCTGCCGCCACAACAGTAGTGTGGTACCCCTGTGGAGGAATAGCCATGATGGGAGGCCAAAAGGGGGGTTTAAGATTCTCTTGGGGTAGGGATTCCTTAATATGAACCCTACAATGGGAACCCTACTCCCTACTCATAGGCTACAACCCCCTTTTGGCCTCCTATGATAGCCAAGAGAAGGAGCCCGCCACTGCCTCGCCGAAGCTGTCCAGATGCCCCGGCGAATAACGCTGTGGAGCATTACCGAGTGATCATCGTCGTAGCCTCTGTAGCCCTTGGCCCTGAACTCTCACCCCGTTTGGAAGTTTGTGCATGCTTGCCAGCAGCTTATATAGCGCTCTCAACTCCGGGAGATTTACCAGAGCTGTGCAATTCTGTATCCATGTACCACCACCCCATGAAACCCGAAATAAAAGTCCTAAGTCCTGAACCCCACGCCCGGAATCCTGAGCCGTAAACCCAGAACGAAAAAGATTGACAAAAAGCGTGTAAGTGCTCTGCACCCATGCTGTGCACTTCAAGGGCCTCATCGACCAAAGGAACGGCACGGTGGAGCTCGCGAACCTCTGCGCTTAATATGCTGAACGTAGTGATTGGAACCGGTATGTGGGGAATATTGTAGCATGAGTAGCATGAGTTTACATGGTCGGGTATAGGAACGCATGTCGAAACCCAAAGTAACGAAGAACTAATCCTAAGTACGTAGAGCAAGAACAATCTCAAGTTTTAACCCCCCAAGCCCTGTCAAACTTACGAGAATCCTCAAACGCATTCGCAACACTGAGAACACTGCTGCCCCAGCAAGCACAAGACCTCAACCGGCAATCCGAAACTGCAAACCCCAGACGCAACATTTTACTCTATCCAAATCCCACCGCCCCTGACTCCAACATTCTTGTAGTACCCTTGTAGAGCCCCTGAAAGGAAGCCGTAAAAGCCCCGAAAGTCTAAACAAACTCCAGCATCTGAAATAATTATCCCTTGTTGAAGTCCTCGAAGGAAGCCACCCCCAGGCAGTAACTGTTACGGGAACTCTTTCGGGAACCCTTACAACAGAACCGCAAAGTAAGCCGGGGCCCGCACGAAGGTCCGTGCGCAGTCCGTGCCAGCGCACTTCTCGAGGTCCTTTTCAGAGCAAAGGGTTTAAATGCAAGCTTCACAAGATTTGTTTCAAGCCTATACGGCACTATAAGGATTCAGGGCTTGGGGCATAGTGTGTAAGAGTTACGCCGCCATGTACTTCATGGGTCACAATAAGGGTACTATGAATATAGAACCCTACTAGGGTTGCCATCGCGGCTGATCTGAAAAAAGGGCCTCGCCCCGACCCGCAACGCGAAAAACACCGACACTCATAACTCCTCTGCTCTTCAAGGATTAGCAAGACATGAACGTCCTTGAAATCCCTGTAGGAATGGCAGAAAGGAAAAGGACGGAAGATAGAGGCACGATCCCGCGTAGAGTCAAATCAATCCTCACCCTAAAGCCTTACAGCAACCCCATGAAACCCTGACAAAAACCTCCCCCACTTGGAGGATCATGGGACTTAGTAACTATAGTTATAAGTCCCTTAATTCGGGTTTATAAGTAGTTATATTATATGTGTATAGTTACCCCAATAATAACCTTAGTTGCTAAGTCCCATGATCCTCTAACCCCCTCCCCCCACACACAATCCTCATCTTTCAACACCCTGTCAACAAGCCCCGTTAAGCCCTGAGAAAATCCAGACAAGATCCCAGGAATGCTTAAACCCAACTTGGCCGACCTCTGAAAAGTGTAAACCCCCCAGCCCCCCAAACCCCTGAATCTCCCCACCCTACATCCCGAAAGTCTTAAACCAAACTCCCAGAACCCGGGCAGAATCCCTAAACCCTTCCAGGATCACGTGCAAAACGGAATAGCGGCCACACGGAACCCTAAACCGTCAACCCCTAAACCCCTAAACCCCTAAACCCTAAACCCCTAAAACCCTAAAACCCTAAACCCTAAAACCCTAAAACCCTAAAGCCTAAAACCCTAAACCCTAAACAATCCTAACCCCCTAAACCCTAAATCCAAAACCGCGAAGGCCTCGACGAACTTCCGAAGATGTTGGAAACCTGGTGGGGCACTGCTCTGTAGGCTAAGAACCCAATGCCCCTTAAGTAAGGAATATACCTTAAATTATCGGGGCCTTCATATTGCACTACTTGTAGTTCCCAGAGACTCCAAAACCCCTTAATTAAGGAATATACCTGAAATTAGAGTAGGATCCCTAATATGATTTAAGGAATCATCCTTAATTAAGGGATATTGGAGTCTCTGGGTTTTCACCGTCTACGACCAAGGCTGAGGGTACGATGCGTAGACATCACGGATCCTTCTCACACAGTGAGAATGACTATGGCAGGTTGAACCCAGAGAACCCAGTACCCCTTAATTAAGGAATTTACATTAAATTATAGAGGCCTTACTATTATGATTTAAGGTATATTGCTTAATTAAGGGGTATTGGGATCTCTGGAAACTTATGAGTTGCGGAAATTTTTGGTTTAAGGGTTAGGGGCGCATGGTCTAGGATAGTTATAAGTTGGAAGGTCTTGATAAGGTTGACTGAAGCTGTATAGGCGTTTGTAGGGTGTTTGTGGAGCTTTTGGCATTTATTGGCTATGATAGCTTGTTTTCACGGGGTTGTATGGCTGTCTTTGTTTGATGGAATGTCATGGGGTTTCGGCATTCAGGCTCTATTGCAAGTTGGTGTTGCTTTAAACTGTGGGTGTTGCAAGGTTGTGTGGATGAAGGCCCTAGGAGTTGGGGTTTAAGGTTCAGGGATGTATGCCCTAAACCCCAAACTCGAAGCCGTATGGGCTTAGGACTGCAGAGTTTATGCGGTGCAGGCTCAAAGCGGTAGATTGAGGGCTTAAAGGACTGGAGCCTGGGTAAAGGGTGTTTTCCGGAAAACAGGGTCCCCTACTATAGCCCTAAACCCTAAACCCTAGACCCCAAAAGCGTAGCATCCTTATTCTGAGTACCCTCTTATAGGATACTCTGTAGAAACAGGTTCAAGGCTTTTGAGTCTAGCCTGTAAGGATCAATCCTCCTCGTTTTAGGTACCTAGGATAGGTATCTAAAGTGCGTCTGGGTAGCAGGGCTACCCAACATGACTCTCTATGCTGGTGTGTTTTTTTTGGGGGGGGTGAAGGCGATTTGAAGGCTACCATAGAGGCGATGAGACTTGGCTCCGGATTTTGTTGTATTTCAACAGCAATGCTTTGACGAATTGCTATTGGGCATGCATAGAGTCCGGGCGGATGCGCATATGCGATGCAAACCAGTCCATCTGCCTGACAATAGCAGTCGTTCAGATGAAAGGCGAGAGCTTGCCACCCGCAGACCTTGCACCGCCCCTTTGTCGGTGCGGCTTCCATGGCCTGAAAGGGAATAGCTCGCGCCAGGAAGTCGAAGCCCTCCTGCTGTTTCATAACGTACCCAATGGGCAAGTGTTCTCAGAAGAAAGGCAAACAAATCTTGGGAGATTCGCATCAACGAAACCATAACCCCAAAGGGGACACGACTAACAAATGGCCAGCCTTATTTACAGTTCAAGGATTGCCATTGCGCGCCCATAAAGCCGCGGCAGGTCCAAGCCCATGGAAGACCCGATGCCATCACGCAAGCCAAAGGTCAGATATTGCTAGGAAATGTTACAAGCCCTTCACCCAAACCGTGAAGAACAACCCTTGCCATGATCCCTTGGCTTCAGACCATAATTAGTCAACAAAAATGCAAACTAACTCACGGATTTTCATGATCGGTATGTCTTCCGTCGTACACCCCAAATCGGAAACCCTAAATCTTAACACCAACCTCAAAACTGAATCCCCTCGCCCACCCCCCCCCCCACCGGTAAACCCTAAACAACAGGTTGTTCCCAACCCGAAAAACTAAACCTAAACCCCAAACCCTAAACCCCAAATCCCGAACCCTAAACCCCAAACCCTAAACCCTAGACCCCTATAATGCCGCCGGTAGGACTTTGGCTCGACGAGTCCTCGATCTCGGCAACTGCCTAGCCGGGAAAGAGGCAGAGATTAGGGCTTTTGGGGGGCTTCGGGTTTAGGCTTTAGGGTTCAGGATTCAGCTTTCAGGATTTAAGGTGTAGGAACTAGGGCTTGGAATTCAGGGTGTAGGATTATGGGTTCAGGATAATGCTCCGGTCCAGCACAAGGTTTGAGCGTATAGCAGACTGATACCTAAAGGGACGGATTCTTTCAACTTTGGGGCAAACAATTGCCTATTTTTCTGCTTCTACATTACAAGGGGTTTGTTAGGGCTGGGCTCAGGGTCGAGGGCTTCAGGAGGCCGGGTATGGCGCTTGCCTTAGTTTTGGTTGGGAGGTCTCAGAGCTTGGATCGAAGTGTAGGTTTCCAGGTGGCTGAGGGCTGGGATTCTCGAGGAAGATAGGGTGGCACACTGCGAGACTGTGCCAATGCCAGCTCGAGGGTCCCTAAACCTTAAACCCTACCTATAGTCTCCATTGTAGTTCCTTTTTTTGGATAACCAAAAACTCTATTATAGGATCCTAACCATAAAACTGGCTAACCAAGAAAAGGAACTACAATAGACACTAGAGGTAAACTCAAAGAGCCGGCCCACACGCCCGATGCGCTCGCATGTTCAGGGTCCAGGGTTCAAGTGCTCCTTTTCTCTTGCAAAGGCGGTGCGATCACGATTCAACAGCTCGCAAGCACACTCGAAGCATCCGCGGATCAGCTTCAGAAACGCCTACTTGGAGGATGGTTATAAGTGGGGTTATAAGTCCCCTAAGTGGGGTTATCCTAAGTATAACCTACTTATAACCTTGCTTACTAAGTCCCATGAGCCTCCAAGTAAACCCTAAACCGCGGCCCTTGGCATGGGAGGCCGTCTGCGAAGGAGAAGTAGCCTCAGAATCATCCTCGGCCCCGACAGGCTTTAGAGTTTAGGGTTTAGGGTTCCTCCAGAAGTTTAGGGTTTAGGGGTTTATGGCTTAGGGTTCAGGGTCTAGGGTTTAGAGTTTAGGGTTTCCTCGACCTCGAGAGTTTTCTTGGCCTTCTGGAGGAGCCTTCAGCACTTGCCCGATAAACCTCGAAGGCTGACCGGCCCCAACGGGTCTGTCTTACTTACCTTTGGTTAGTAGGGAATGGAAGAATGGTAGTAATAGACCCTAAACCCTAAACCATAATAGTTATAATTGTACCCCATTCCTCCATTCCCTACTACAAGATTAGCAGACTGCGCAGTCGACGGGTCCGGAACCACGGCTGCTTGGTCATGCAGTACATGGGTGGTTGTCAAAACTATGGTCCCTTTTGGGGTCCCTATTATAGTACGGCACCTAATATTTAGGGTACCCAAAACGGGACCCTAATTTTGACAACCACCCTGACATGGCAGTGGAATGTTGCCACAGAGCAATACTGAGAGGATCAGGGGGCCAAGGTCTTGTGTAGCTTAATTGGCGTCTCAAGTAGGTATAACTCTTGTCCGCTAAGTTACCATATGGAAGGTTGTCAAACTTACGGTCCCTTTTTGGGTACCCTAAATATTAGGTGCTGTAGTATAATAGGGACCCAACAAGGGACCCTAATTGTGACAACCACCTCTATTTATAACCCTGCTTGCAAAGTCCAGCGAAGCTCCAAGTAGCCCTAAACCCGACACCTACAGAACCCTCTCTTCTTCAACAACCGGGCCCCAAAAAGTTCAAACTTTCCAAAATAGAGCTAATAACAGGCCAAAAAGTTTAAAGTTCCCCCGTTCACTATCTCAGAATTTTGAAAGGAACCCTTACTAAGCCCTCCGAAGAGAAGTTCTGATGAGATGATCGCTTTGAGGAGTCTCTGGCAATGCCGCCAGAAAGGCTTGGAGGGTTTGGGGTTCAGGCTTTCAGGTTTGGGGTTTTGGGGCTTAGAGGTCCAGGGCTTAAGGGTTTAGGGGTTCTTTTTTTGTTTTTTTGAACCCTCGTGTCTTTTGGTGACCGCAAGACGTCCAGGTTTAGGGGTTCAGGCTTTAGGCTTGAGGGTGCGCCAACTAGGTGGAAACTACACTTTTCAACAGTTCTCTGTGGCCATTCACCCCCTGAAATCTGAAAGCATCTGGGCGGTTGTCAAAATTAGGATCCCTTTTTGAGCACCCTAAATAATAGGTGCCGTACTACATTAATGAGCCAAACAGGGGCCCTAATTTTGACAACCACCCATCTGCAAGATCTAAGCTCCATGGGGAGAAGGAGGGACCCTTAATGAGGACCCCTAGGTATATACCCTTAATGTAGCTATTATATACCCATTATATAGCCCATTATAGGCTAGGGATCCCCATTAAGGGTTCCTCCTTTTCCCCTTTGAAAAGCCGCAATGCCCACGACCCGATGCCTGAAACCCCGAAAACCCCGCCTGGTCCAGCTCAGCTTGGCTATCCGCATGTGTGCCTTCCGGCAGGAGCTTCTTGCTTCTAGAGCTTGTATTAAAGAGGCATTAATAATTAGAATGGGTCTTGGGGCCCATTATGCCATAATGATAATAAGGAGCCCCCAAAATAGTATAGGTAATTATGAAGACCCCTATATTATCTTTCTTTGTGTGCGTATATGACCGTATATGCTCGTGTGGTGTTACGGGATCTGCAAGGGTCTGGTAACTTGAGCTAGCTAGGGCTGTTAGGCGTTTCGTTGCGCTGGATTAGGACTGCAGGCTTAAGTTCCGGTGGTTTGCAGTCATTACATCTTTGTAAGTTTTGGGGTTTCGAACGCTTCAAGTTTTTCTTAGCAAGCATTTTTAAGGCCCGCGGATATAATTTGATCTTCCTGCTTCGCTGAGCTTATGGCATCAAGGCATACAAGGTCTCCAGTATAGCAGTCTTCACAGTATACGGTTTAAGCAGGAGAGTGCTCAAACAGCAAGGCTAGAAAGGTCTTCAAGGTACCCACCACGAAAAATCAGGCCACACCCCGAAGCATGATGCAATGAAGCAGGGATGGCAAAGAGACTCGAACGTACCCGATGCTCCGCTTGAGCACATGCGGCAGAGTTGAAGAAGTCCTTCAGCTTCGCAGTCCAAAACTGAACCTTGCCGAGCTTCCTCTTTAAGTCCTTCCAGCAAGCATACTTCTCACAATCGTGCCAAAGGCAAAGCTGGTCTTGTGTCAGTGGCGCGTCTTGCAGCAATGCCACAGCGTGAAAGCTTTGCAAGAGCTGCAACAGTTGTTCTTTCTGCTCGCTGTCGGGCTCGTCATCCAGGAAGGTAGCTTTGCCAAGTGCAGTCACAAAAGCCACCAAAGTGCGGGTGTCCTCACGTTGCACACAAAAGTGCAGCACCTGTTCCAGCAGTTGGGCTGCCAGCACCATCTTTTGCTGACTACACGGTGTGTTCTCAGTTGACTGAGCTGTCCCACATCAGAACTGTCCGATGAGCTCCACGTGGGCCACGGAATTCAAGAACCATCTGGTGCTTAGCAAGGACTGAGGGAAAGAAGACTGGATTACAACATCCCCAACCCTACGCCCAACAATCTCTGTAATGGTAATGCCAATCTTCTCTGTGAGTCAGAACCCTCAGAAGGCTTGTAAAGCAGCTCCGATTCATAGTGTCGAGTCGCACAGCTGTAAAGCGTTGCCATCTGACATTGAAGTCACAAAAGCCCGAGACACCCTGTACGCCCAACAACCATTACCCCAAAAAGGTCTATAACCCCTGCACCCTCTCGAAAGCCTGTAGCAACAGCAAATGGCAACATGTCACATAGCCGAGCTAACCGAGTCCAGCACTCAAAGCATTATGCTCAAACTGGCACCGAAACCCCGGGGTTTTGGGATTCCTAGTTGCTGAGTTCATAAGCCCCCAAAAGTGTACACTTTCAGTTTTATAGTGGGTAACATTACCCCCAAAAGTGTAAAGTGTATCCACTCAGCTACTAAGCTTTCGGATTCCGTTTGAGGGTTCCTTGGGGATTTCACAAGGGTTCCGTTTCGGGGGCTTTTTGAAGGCAAAGGGTCGATTGAAGTTTAGGGCTTGGTAAGTCCGCCCCATGTTCTGCCGGAGGGCCTCCTTCCTTCACGGCTGTGTCTGCCGCCCTCAGCTCAGATGCTGTGAGCGGCACAGCCTCGGAGTTTCAGCAGTGTGTGATATCGGGGGACTTAAGAATTAGATAACGGTTCTCTTTCTTCACTTTAAGGGTTTTCCAAGATTCGGGCATGGGGCCATGCAAAGATAGAACAGTGTTTCGGGGCTTGTTACAGTATCCCCTAAACAGGGTTCCCCAAATGGTACTGGCATTTTTTCAGGCTTCTAGATTACTTCCAAGAGAGACCCGGAAGCGAAAATTGGCCAGATGGCAGTGGTCTGGAGACGCTGCGATGCAACCACTTCTAGGTTAGGTGTTGCAACAACACAAAGTTCTTGCGTTGACGAAGTATGGCGGCCCTAAACCCTAAACACTGACGGTATCGAAAGAGCCCTGGACTCTGCTTGGAAGAAAGGCATACAACTCGCACAGACATGTTGTAAGATCACATTGTTGAACAACGAACGATAGTTCTTTGTGCAACCCGTATTGGTGCTATAGTGCCACAAGCAACTAAATCAAAACACTTCTTGAAACAAGCAGCGCCCTACGAACTATCAATCAACACCCTATGAGTTTACAACACTCGTATTCGCGCACCCCCCACACACACAGACACACTAACATTCCCTGACTCAACCATAATAGTAAGATATACCAACAAACCCGATTCTAATTATTACTTGGAGGGTCGGGGGACTTAGTACGTAGGTAGTAAGTAGAGTTATAAGTACCCTAAAAGGGACCCTAAATGGGGTTATGGTACTTATAAGTCCCTAAAATAGCCAGTTACTAAGTCCCCCGACCCTCCAAGTAAGGACCCCAGAACAAGCCCCCGGCGACCCGGAAGGCCCAGGCATGCCCCAGGATCAGTCGATCCTTTCGCTTGCTTGGGATACTTCGGTTGATGATATAAATCCTGCATGACCAATAATAAGGAGTATACCATAATTCCCACAGTTTAGGGTCTTTGAGGTTATGCAGGATTTATATCATCAACCGTTCGACGTTCTTTCGGGACTTAGCAAGTAAGGCTGCCTTAAGGGCTGCTTTGAGGGGTCCTTTAAGGGTTTTATAGAGTTTTGGGGTTTAGGGCCTATTTGTTTAGGGGACTTAGTTGAGGGATCCTGTAAGGGCTCCTTTAAGGGATCCTGTGTTGTTGCAAGGGTTGTATAGAGGTTTGGGGTTTAGGGTGTAGGGTCTACTTGGAGGTTCAGGGGACTTAGTATTCAGGGTTTGGGGTTTAGGGTTTCAAGGCTTAGGGTCTTTAGGGCTTCAAGAGTTTAGGGTTTGGGGTTTAGGGTTTCAAGGCTTACAGTCTTTAGGGTTTTAGGGTTTCAAGAGCTTAGGGTTTGGGGTTTAAGGTTTCAAGGCTTAAGGTCTTTAGGGTTTTTAGGGTTTCAAGGGTTTAGGGTTTGGGGTTTCAAGGCTTAGGGTCTTTAGTGTTTTAGGGTTTCAAGAGTTTAGGGTTTGGGGTTTAGGGTTTCAAATCTGGAGGGGGTTTAGGGTTTCAAGGCTTAGGGTCTTTAGGGTTTTCGGGTTTCAAGAGTTTAGGGTTTTGTATTTCCTCGCTTTACCTTTATTAGGACCAATGCGCATAAGCTCAAGTGCCCTAGACCATTTGTCAAGGTTAGTAAAGGGTTTGGTAAGGATGTCAGCGGCTTCAAGAATAGTGTTAATGTAGGCCATCTTGTAGTGCCTACGACGGAATTGCTCAGCAATCCACCCCAAGTTGATCTGCTGTGTCTCGTCCGCGTGTCTGAAGGCAGGGGATTTGCCAGATTCCAGGATTCTTATCCTAGCTTGATTGTCTTCTAGGACGATCGGCTCAATGGCATGTGGCATGCAAGCGATAAGGCCGATATCCTTGAAACACGATTCAGGAGCGAGATCTTCAATGTCAACAGGTTTGGGGATTTAGGGTTGCAAGGCTTAGGGTCTTTAGGATTTTAGGGTTTCAAGAGCTTAGGGTTTGGGGGTTTGAAGGCTTAGGGTCTTTAGGTCTCTAGGGTTTTAGGGTTTTAGGGCTTCGGGAGTTTGGGGTTCAGGGTTTCACGGCTTACCTTAACCCCAAGTAGCCTACCCTTTTTAAGGACTTGTATAAAGAAGTCATATTAGGGAACCCTAAAAAATGTAGGTTCCTTAGGGTCCAGATAGTGTTCAGGGGTTAAGGATTGAGGGGCTTAGTGCTTTGGGTTAGTTTAGGGTTTAGGGAAAAGGTAGGTTCCTTAGGGTCCAGGTAGGGTCTGTAGGATTTAGGCTTAGGGCTTCGGGCCTAGAGTCTGGCTTGGCTACTGCAGGCTCAGTATCTACTATTTGCTTAAGAACCCCCAAAAAATAAAAAATGTATTCCTTATAGGGATAATATAGGGATTATAATTTTTTATTTTTTGGTGGGTTCTTAAGCAAATAGTAGGTATACTTGTCGGATTCCGGGTCAAGGAGTGGGGCTTTAGGGCTTTCGGGTTTCAGGGTTTTGGGGCTTAGGGTTGCGGGCTTCGGTACCCCGAGACTCCAATATCCCTTCATTAAGGAATATTCCTTCAATCATACTGGCTTCGGGATTTTAGGGTTTGGGGCATACTTTTCTGTAGGACCTTTCTCCTTTTTCTTACACCAAGAGAGCCTCGTTAGGCTTAGTAACCTGGTGTACTTTTCGGGTTTAGGGGCTTAGCTTTTGGGGCTTTCGGATGGTCTAGGGTTGTAGAGTTTGGGGCTTACGGTTTCAGGGTTCAGGTTTTTAGGAACTTTTCGGTTTAGCATTGGCCTAGTCGGCATTCCTGTCTTGTTGTTTAGTTCTTCCGGTTTCTGGCTTCGCGGGGCTAGGGCTGTAAGGTATTTTAGGATTTAGGATGTATGGTTCAACACAGGATTTTGCTGCCAACCAAGCAGCAGGTTATGACCTCTTAATTGTAAAGCAAGACCTTTTAATTTTACATGAGTAGGTAACAGGGGAGTTCTCTAAATCAGGATCCCGTTCTAGGTCCACCAAACAGCACGGCACCATATGGCACCGTTATAAAAGGGACCCTAAAAATGCTCTACGTTCGAGAACTGCCCACTTGGGTCCAGCAGTATATGCCTAAACCCGATACCCTGATCCGGATCCTGGTGTTGGATCTGCACGGCTTCGGTGACGCGGCGGCCGTTCAGCAACACCCGGGGAATGTCCTCTGAGGCTTTCTAAGCAAGGAATCTTCCTTACATTCATAAACACTAACCCCCAAGCCCCCAAACCCTGGACCCCTAAACCCTAGAACCCCTAAACCCCTAAACCCCAAAACCCTAAACCCTACTAAGAGTTAAGCTTGATTTCACCAGGCCCGAGCCGCCACCCCCCCCAACGACTCATCGTGGAAGCAATGCCCCTAAATAATCCCCAACCCCATGTCCCTATACCCCAGCCCCCTAGACCAGGACCAAAATATTATGTGGGTGGTTGTCAAAATTATGGTCCCCTTTTGGGTACCCTAAGTATTAGGTGCCGTATTATAATAAGGACCCCAAATGGGACCCCAATTTTCACAACTACCCGTGTATATAAAAAACGTTTAGCCTAACTTTTGAAGGTAGGGTCTGGGGAGGGACGGATCCCTACGGTTGAAGATATACAAGGACCGTAAACTATGGGAATTGTGGTATATTCCTTATTATGGGTAATGCAGGATTTCTATCATCAACCGTATCTCATGCTTCAGCGAGAACCCTTCAGGACTTATTTATGACCAGGATACGTCCTGGGGGCTCAAGTCGCCCCCTAAAGAACCCGAGTTTCATTATGTAGGCCTGTACCTGCTCTGGGGTTTCGGGTTTAGGTTTTACGGATTCAGGGGTTTAGGGTCTTTAACTAACTAGGTGTTTGGGGTTTTGGAGGTTTAAGGTCTAGGATTGGCGTTTGGGGGTTCGGTCTTAGCGGTTTAAGGTCCCTGAGCCTTGCACCCTCTACACAGCGCTTAAACCGCCACTTGAAACCGCTCAACCGCTACTCCCCTTCGGAGGTAAGCTTAGGGTTTCCCTCAACCCCAAACCCTAAAACCCAAACCCAACAACACATACAACCCTGAACCCTAAAACCCCTCAGGGTTTCGGGCTTACATGAACTTCTACGAGATCCGAGAAACACCAGAAATCCGCAAAAACATGAACGACCGCAGTGATCCCGGATCTCGGCACTTATATAGGGGCCTGATTAGCTAGGACAGGCTTCTTTTTGCGGTCTATAGGCTTACTATAGAGATCTATAAGGGTACTATACTATAGGGGCCTTAATAATTCGAATAGGGTTTTGGGGCCCAGTATACTATAATTATACGAATCAAGCCCCACAATAGTAGAGGGTAAGCATTGGTCCCTTCGTCTGACAGTATAGCCTAAGTAGTCTTCCCCTCCGGCTACGTAGAATGCAACCAACAACAGCTTTTGGACCCTCTCAACCACAATCAGGACTCAAGTGTCAAAACTTCGCTGCAAACTGAAGTCAAGTTGGGTTCAATCATCCACCACTCCTAATCACCTAATCCCCAAACAGTCCAAATCCCTACACCTCGAAGGCAGGACTAACCTGAACCATAATCCTAAAGCACCCACAAAGCAAGGAGGAACCCTCTCAAACGCTGCGAACCTACTTCAAAAACCTGAAGCCCCAAAGTGCACCACAGTCCTGGTTCCTGAGTTACCCCTTTAAAATAAGGTTACCCTTTTTCCTACTATTCGGTTTTAATAAGGCGACCCTTACTACCCAGGAACCTAGTAGACCCTAAACCTCCATAGATCCCTTATAGAACCCTTGAAGGAACCCTTTTCGGAACCCTTAAGGCACCCTAAGGGCACTACTCAGGAACCTAGCAGTTCATGAAACCTGGAGCTCGACAGTCGGTCCTTCTCATCACTCGCAGCAATGGGATGAAGCACCAACTTTCGATTGCCTGCAAAGGGTCCAAAAACAATTTCAATCAAGGAACATTCCCTAAACATGCTTAAACCATATTCACAAAAAGCCCATACTTCAAGCTATAATATATATCGGATATGGAAAGATTCTCCGAGTCTCGTCAGCGCGAAGGTTTTCTCGGGTTTCGTGGCTTCTCCTTTCACCTTAGCCTAGAATCAAAGGCTCCTCAACTCCAAACATAAGCCGCAGGAGAAATGATAGGCTAAACCCTGCAAACCTCCCCCCCCCGAGCCACCCCCGCGCCCAATTCTAAAATCAAACATCACCCAACAAAAACCACCAACAGCGAACCCAAACTGCTGAACCGCTAAACCCCTTAATCTGAGAGCCCAGGCCAACCCCAACGCTCTTGAATTCGGCGGATGGTTAACGGTTTTTGTTTTCGTGAAGAAGGATGGCCCACCCCTCTCTTGTTTGTAGAAACGCATGGCTCGGTCGTTTTGGCGGCCAGACACGACAAGCTGTTGGGCAATCTTGGTGGTTGACATCAAACTGATGGAGAAGTGCAACTTGTAAGGTCCGGCTTTGAGCCCAGCCTAAGAGCTCAACTTAACAAAATCCTGTTATGCATCAAGCCATTGGACAACGTCAGGCGGAGGGTCCTGCTTTGCATCGGAGCTTTGGGGGAATTACAATCTGCATGGTCCTATTCTGCATCAAGCTACTGGATACTTGCAATGATTCGAAAACAACAACTTGCAAGATCGTCTTCCGCAGCAAGCTACTGGCTAATGACACTTCCCGGGTTTTTTTCTGCATCGACTTTTTCAAGGGTTAGAGCGTGCAACCCTAAACTCTGAAGCCTTAAAACCCAAAGCCCTAACTTCCACGGCAAACACACCTCCGATGTCAATGGGTCCCCAAAACTGCACATAAGCAAAAAACTAGGATAGGGAGTAGGGATATCCAAAAAAATGCTTATGCTTATGTGCTTTTTGGGTCCCTGAGTCAACCCCTTAGTCTGAGTCTTAACCCAGAAGATGATGCTCTGAACCTCAGGAGGCGTTAAGTGGAGGCCACACCCTCAACTACTCTCTACTCTAAACCTGAAAAACACCTGAACGTTCGAAAACCAAACTCAGTCAGTCCATAACAACATACAGTAAAACGTCAATAGAGCGTACCTGATCTATTACCGCCCCGTCTTTTGTGGAGTCTACTATTTCGCAAATTACTAGTGCGCTATTACCAAAAGCCCTGGAATCCCTCACTTCCTATAGCCCTCAAACGTGGAGCTTCCACTAGCTCTCTTCTTATATAGAGTTGCTATACTTCAAGGACTTGTTGATATACGACGTATAGAGGGTTCTAAGGGTTTTGAAGGACGGTGGAGATGGCTGAACCCTAAACCCTCTAGGCCCGGATGACGTTGCGCCCTAAATACTTAGCCCTGAAGACTAGCTCCTAAACTCGCAGTCCTAAATTCCGGCCTCGAAATCTTAAATCGATATTTCAGTAAATCAGGGGTGTATAAGGCAAGGGTCATGTTTTCTTCAGGATCCTACTATTTAGGTTCTAGATTGGGTTGCCTCATTCTCTGACACTGCCATGTGAAAGTGTCTAACCCAAAGCACTAAGCCCCTCAATCCTCAACCCCTGAACACTACTTGGAGGATCATGGGACATAGTAACTATAGTTACAAGTCCCTTAATTGGGGTTATAAGTAATCATAAGTATAGTTACCCCAATAATCACCCTAGTTACTACGTCCCATGATCCGCCAAGTATACCTTAAATCCTTCAACCCCTGAACCCCTAAGCCCCCTAAAGCACCTAAACCGCTTACGAATCATCGCAACACGGCAGGAACCAAATACAGAAACCATAATAAGGAACCCTAAAAAGGGAGGTCTTTTCGGCTACAGGTATATCTTAAATCCTTAAACCCACCCGAACTGCCTACGGATCATCTCAACACGGCAGGAACGGCGCCTTCGTTGCAGATTCGGCAGTGGCGAGGTTTCATGCCCAGGCCGCCTCGGGGAGAAGAGCTCACTTGGAGACTTGGAGGCCCATGGGACTTAGTAAGTAAGGTTATAAAGGGTTCGGGGTTCTAGGGTTTAGGGTTCCTTAAAGGGCTCCTTTAAAGGGATCTTTAGGATTCCTTACAGGGGTCTGAGGGGTTTAGGGTTTAGGGTCTACATAAAGGCTCAGCTCACTTGGGGCTCATGGAACCAAACGGGAGAAGGAGGGACCCTTGATGGGGACCCCTACCCTATTATGGGCTGTATAATGGGTATATCATAGCTATATTAGGGGCATGTACCTAGGGGTCCTTATTAAGGGTCCCTCCTTTTACCTTTGGACTCATGGGACCTAGTAAGTAAGCTTATAAGTAGGTTAGACTTAGGATAACCCCACTTAAGGGACTTATAACCCCATTTATAACCTACTTACTAAGCCCCATGATCCTCCAAGCACCGTGCTTCCAAGACTGGATTTTCTGGGATTCAGGGCTTAACGAAATCTTTTTTGTTGGGAACCCTCGCGTCTTTTGGTTAAGGTTCTGGTTTAGGGTGTATGGTTTAGGGTCGAGGGTTGTGGGTTTCAGGATAGAGTTTGTGGTCTGGTGTTTAGGGACGTGCTTAGGGTTGAGAGTTCAGGGATTGGAGCAGAAGGTGTCCTGAGAGGAATTGAGGTTTTTTGGGGCTTCTGGGAATTGGAAGCGCAGTTTGGGGCTCCGGGCCTAGGAATTCTAACTCTCGCAAACCCTCTAAACGTGGATGCACACACACATTGCATGGCGAGTTACAGGAACATAGTGTTTGTCATGCCACCGCAAGTAGCCTAAACCCTCCGTCATTGCCGCCAGGACACTCATGCGGACGTTGTTGCCGTCGGAGGAGCCAATTGTCACCTTCAGATGAGCAACTGTCAATGAAGATTGCCGAAAAACCAAACAAAGATGAGACAGACCCGAGCAGAATCACCGCCTGAATGCAGCCCTAAGAATTTCCCTAAATATGGACCCTATGAACCCTTAAGCCCGACAGCCCTAAATACGAAACCCCAAATCCTAACCCGGAGATGCTAAACCTCTGAACTCCCAAATCCGTATGCCCAATATTGAGTTCAGATAGCCTGGAAGACCCCCATATGTAGATCCGAGCTGTCTAAGCGGATCCTTAACCCTGAATCCTGAACCCCATACGGCCATACGCTAAAACCCCAAACCCTACATATCTTGGTGGGGCTCCTCTGCTATGGACTTGTAAGGTTCGGCTTAAGGTTTAGGGTTTAGGGTCGTTCAAGGCTGATCACTACGACGACGACTACCACCATCCTATATCCGACGAGCCCTATACCCCTTGAACCCTGCAAGCCCAGCATCCCTAACTAATCCCTAAACCCTTACGCCTATACCCTAAACCCCCATAAACCCCTATAGACCGCTATAAATTCTGTAAATCTGTAAACCCTATAAACCCCAATACGCCCTAAACCCTGCCGGGTATTCCCTTGCCTCCGGCCCAGGCAGGAAGTACATCAAGCACCTGGGATTTGAGGTTCGGGAACCTTTGACCACTTGGGGGTTTCCGAAAATAGGGGACCCGAATATAGCACCCTAAATAGTAGGATCCTTATTGTAAGGACCCCAAACAAGGTACCCCTAATTTTCGGAAACTCCCACTTGGGAACCTTTGAGCTTCATGGCGTGATCTACCACGGTTTAGGGTTTGGGGTTTACCTGTAGCCGAAGAAACCTACTTTTTTAAGGAACTAAAATTAGAAACCATAATAAGGAATCCTAAAAATGGTAGGTCTTTTCGGCTACAGGTAGGGCTCAAGGTTGCTGTCGGAGTAGTACCAAGATTTTGAGCTTCTTGTCCTTATTGTGCTTATGTACATGGGTGGTTGTCAACATTGTGGCCCCTTTTGGGTATCCTAAATAATAGGTGCCGTATTATAATAAGGATCCAAGAAGGGACCATAATTTTGACAACCACCTACATATAAAAAAGGCTGTAACAAAGTACTAGGTTGGCCTTTTAAAGCCTCTGAAAAATGTTCGTAAATAGGGTTCTATTCAGCCCACTAAAATGTAAAACGTCCCAAAGGCCTACCTGGAGTAAGGGGGCTTAGGGCTTCCGGGTTTCGGGCAATGGGTCAATTTTCTCTACCGGGAGATGCTGCAGGACTTTGGTGCAAAAAATCGAGAAAGAGGCATTGAAACGAGATAAAAACCCGTCAGGCGAACTACCGTCAGCAGGCTGCTAAGGCGGATTCCGTGTTGGGGCAGTAAACCCACTAAGTGCCTTGAACCCTCGACCGAAGGACCTGAGGTGGCGTAAGCCATTGACTGCAGGGCACACAATGCCGTGCTGCCTCAAAACATGTAGGAAACCATCCCGAAATCTTCGCGTCAACACACCCACAGTCATAGCTTTGTTTAGGCAGCTAGCCTGGAAACGGAAAGTAAAGATGTATTCGAGCATCACTGCAAACAAGTGCATGCCCGTGACTGAAGTCGTTGTCGGCAACAATGACTTCATGTGTCTTTGGTAGGTCACTGAGCACGCTTCCAGCATCATGCCTCTGCCAAAGCGCCAAGTTGATCCAATGCGTGTTGCAACTTGTTCTGGCGAGACATCTACTTGTACGGTGCTCCGCACTTCTTGCAGCCTCATCCACTGTACCAGATTCTCCATGATGCTTGTCTCATCACGGCCTACATCTCCAAAATGCAGGTCAGTGCGCACGTGCGCTGGAACCTCCCAGTCGACTTAGCAAGTACGGTGATAATCCAAGGGTAAAAGGAGGGACCCTCAATAAGGACCCCTAGGTATATATGATCCCGGTTCGGCCGGCCCCCCCCCCCTCCCCCCCCCCAATGGTTCCTCCTCCCCCGGATTCGGCTTGGGGAGCGTGGGGGGGGGGGGGGGGCATACCAGGGGGGGGGGGGGGGGGTCGGTGAACCGAGAACCGGGATCATATATATCCTTAATATAGCTATTATATACCCATTATATGATATAATTAGCCCATTATAGGGTAGGGGTCCCCATTACGGGTCCGTCCGTTTCCCCCTTTGAGTGATAACTACCATCCTTAGGGCTACAAGCAAGGATAACTATGGCCACCGGACTTTTGATCCTACGTGCCAAATCCACGGAACCTGCATTTGGACCGTACACAGCCTACAACCTAAACCCTACACCTGCACCACCCCCCCGCTCCCCTTCAAAAAAGAAAACTTACAGAACCCTTCATGGAATCCCTGCTCAGCCCCCTGAACCTCCAAGCAACCTTTGTCCAATGAACCACTCACTGTTCCTAGGAGCAGACTGTTTTCAGCCCCATAAACCAAACCGCAAATCACCATAACCCCTTACACCCGAACTAAACCTAATCCCCAAACCTCCTAAGCCCCTTTCACCTTAAACCCTAAGCCCGAACACACGACATCCCACGGACCCCAGCTACCCCGTCTGCAGTGGCGGGGCGCCCCTGGAGGTACGGATCCTCTGAAAGATTCACGAGATAGGGCCTGCATTTAGGGTTGAAGGTTTAGGGCTTAAGGATTACCTGTAGCCGAAAAGACCTATACCTTTTTTGGGTTCCTTATTATGGTTTCTATATATGGTTCCTGAAAAAGTAGGTCTTTTCGGCTACAGGTAAAGCTTGAGGTCCAGGGTTTAGGATTTAGAGTTGCTTGAAGTGCCGCTCGGGGTTCATGTGGAGCATCTTCTAGTGTAGGGGTGGAACAATACGTATTTCCGTATGGAGAATAAGGACTAATGCTACTAACATCCTCCAGCCTTCTGTAATCGTAAGGTTCACAGCTTCGTATTTTCAGGTTCAGGGCTTAGCGTTCACTCTACCAGCCAGGGCTTCCGATTGAACAATCAGTTTGGGTGTAAGCTGGGGTAAGGTTATGGGCTTCGTAGTTTCAGCTAAACCCCAGAGCCCAGACCTAAACAGTAAATCCTAAAGCCTAAACCCTGCAATCTTTAAGGATCAACCTTGAGTCGCAAGCATGTTTACTCATGGGCTGAGTATCCTAGCCTTTAAAGGTTAACCTGTTCAATGATGGCAGGGTTGTATGAACCCCAAAAGGTTAAAAGTTACCTACTCACCTACTAAGAAATTGTCCTGTATCCTCGGGGAACTACGGGTTAACCTTCGGGGCTATTTTGGGGGTTACAATACCCAAAGAAGGCAAAAGGTTCCTACTCAGCCACGAGGTTAAGGCACTGAAGTGCAGGATTTACGTCATTTTTTAGGTTTTAGGGCTTCGGGGTTTAGGTTCGGAGTCAGGAGGGCTGTTGAATTATTGGCTTAGGCTTTAGGGCATCTGGGCTTTGAGGGGGGGCTGGCAAATGCCTTCCAAAGTTTCGTCGGGAGTTTAGTGGCCTGTAAAAAAAACTCTGTTCATGGTTAGGATAGGATTAAAAATTTACATGTTTATTCCTTATTGGCTTGCGTACCCATAAAAATGTAAAAAATTCCCAAACCATGACAAAAATCTGTTCGGGGAGTAGGGCTTTGGCGTCTGGGTTTAAGCTTCGGAGACGGGCTACCAAGGGGCGAATCGAGGCCAGCTGGCTGCTGCCCAGAGACTCCAATATCCCTTAACTAGTGAATATACCTTAAATCATAGTAGGATCCTTAATATGATTCAAGGAATATTCCTTAATTAAGGGATATTGGAGTCTCTGGGTGTGGCTCTGCGTGCGGCGGAATTTCTGCAAGGTTTGAACGGTCGACGTTTAAAGGATCAGAGTAAAGTAGGGGCCTTAATGATTACTTACACTATTTCGGGGTTCCTTATTATAATTATAGTATAATCGGCCTAAGGGATCAGAGTACAGTGCAAAGCCCTCTGCATCCTCGCAGCAGCAATTCTCTGCCGTCCCATCTGCCAAAGCAAAACGACAGGAACAGGAGGAGGAGGAGGAGGAGGAGGAGGAGGAGGAGGAGGAGGAGTCCAACCCCTGTAGAGCCCTTAGCTACCTGTAACATCAACGGTTGCAGAGCCCTTGAAGAAACCCTTGTAGAACCCTTCAGCAAACCCCTGAAAGGAACCCTTGTAGAACCCTACACTGCCCATCAAATCGACGATCGCCCACCTGACTTTACACGCACACCCGGGGCTCCGGCACTCCGGCGTCGCCCTGCGATGCAACAACCTCAGGAGCCCAGCCCCAGTTCCTGAAACTCTTTCCTTTAAGTTTTTTTTTTGAACTCCTTTTCTCCAGAGGCAGCAGTCCTTTAGGGTTTAGGGTTTAAGGGTTTAGGGTACTAGAGCCGCTACCCTCAGCCCCCAAAACCGTGCGTAACCTGAAACCCTATTGGTGCCTGTAACCCCTGGAATGTAAGGCAATGTAAGGGCAAATCCTCGGGCGCTTTAAAAGAACCGTGGCACCAAAATGCGAACAGCACCGAAGCACTGTATAGATACCATCAACCCTATCCATCAAACATTTCCTCATCCGAAACCCTCAAAACTATACCCTCCCCGTCCCTCAAACAAAGTCGCAGAACACATCCGAACGAACCCTCAGAGCCCTCTGAAACCCTGGCCAAACCCTTGAGGAGCCACTTGTAATTGAAGCCCTCGTAAAACGTCCGACAAAACCAGCAAAGTCCTGAATACCGCTATAGTGTTCTGCAGGCGCTCTAATCAGTCCAAAGCCCTAACCAAACCTGCCAAAAGCTCGTACTCACACTATACCCTAGCCCCTGGAAGGTTTGAAAAATGACAACCCGGATGAAGCATAACAGGATCCTATAAACCCTGTACAAAAAAACACTCTTTCAAAGCACCTGCAACTGCCCTATGAAAACCCTACTGGCAAAAGACGTATAAAGTAGAAGCCTTCTGAGGTCCCTATAATAGCACGGCGCCCTGAAAAAGAAGGACCACTGAAGGGGACCCTAATGTAGAGAGCCACCCAAATCCGAATCCCAAAACTCCTACAGATCCCTTCAAGGAACCCCTCTGAATCCCTTCAAGGGACCCTTATGGATCGCAAAACCATATCGTAGTCTACCTAGGTACCCATGAAGTACACTTCTTTAGAAACCCAAAAGAGACCCTTATAGATCCCTGTAGGGAGCCCCAAAAGGGACCCATAAGCTACCTCGGGAAATCCTAGCACGAGCCCAGAGAGCCCGAGCTCTGAGCCCGCTTGAAAACCATGTAAGACCGTATGACTTGGGTGCTGCCCACATACAGTAACAGTCTGTAATAGGGCTACTATTAAGGTCCTCATGTATCTATATTACGAACATTATTCAACTGTTGCTGAGTGGGGGCAGTATCCAATGTATGAAGCAGCATAAACTCCAAAACCGAAACCCTGTACAGAAACTATAGAACCCTCCAAACCCAAAGCCCTCAACCCTAAACCCCTGAACCAAAAACCCCAATCCCAAACCCCTAAACCCCTAAACTTGAAACCCGTCAACTCTAAACCCTGAAAACCCTCTGAAGCTAGACCTAAGAGTAACCTAGGAATGAAAAGGGTGCCCTTTAGGGGGTTCTAAGGGAACCTAAACCCTAACAACAAAGGGAATAAGGGCCTACTCTGGGTCCTCTGAAGCGCTAAGTTCTGGCCAGGGGGCCACAGAGACGCCCTCGGAGTTTACACTGAGTCCCATCTCCTGGCATAGAGGCTTAGGTTTAGGACTCTAGAGAGGTTAGGACTTTGGGGCTTTAAGGCTTCAGGGCTTTAAGGTTTAGGGCCTTCGGCTTAGGAGTTTGAGGTTTCAGAAGTTTTTGGGTTAACGGTTTAAGGCTTTTAGGGTTGAGGGCTTTAGGGTTTAGGGCCCGGGCAGTTAGCGGCTCTTCAAGGGGCCCTCTAAACTCTAGTAAGGCCTCTGCATGTGGTTTACCAGGCGCTTTAACGCTTTTGCCTCCTGACCCCGAGGCTTGCCGTTAGGATTTTAGGGGTCCTATTCTGGAAGGGTTACTACGAGGGTCTGAAGCGTGAAATCTATGTAGGTTTCTCTCCTGGCCTAGACATTACTTCTAGCACCGGGGGAGTTAGCCAGTAGCAATGATAAGTAAGTACTATAGTGGCCTTAATCCGCCGAGGCCACAGGCCCAGGGGTCTTGGGGGTTAGCTCAGCGCCCCCCTGCCCTCCCCTGACCTCCGTCCCCTGCCCCCCTCCCTCACTGCTCTTTCACATCACAGAAGCAAGTCGATGAGCTCTGTCACAGTGCTGGTCTCCGGCAAGCCGAGGCGGGTGGCGTAGCGTTGAAATTAGAATAAGGTTGTGGAGGATATTCTACCATGATCATAATAAGGAGCCCCCAAAATACCACAGGTAATCATTAAGGCCCCTATACTATGGTACCCTTATAGATCCCTTATTGTAACCCTTATAGACCCCTTTAAAGGAACCCTTTGTATAGGGAATTATGAAGGCCCCTATATTATACATGCAGCTATCCTCGAGGCTTCGGCTGGGGGCTTGGCTGTATAAGAGTCCTACTTGTCGGGTATCACGGGGAACTAGAGGCTGACTTTTTGCTTATAAAAACAGGTTAAAGGTTGCCTTCTCTACTACTAGGGTGTATTTGGGCTTCCGGCCCAGAGGACTTTGGGAGCTTTGCCGCTTTGCGGTTCTAGGAGTTCCGCGCTGTTTGGCTTTCGGCGTTTTTGGGGTTTGAGGGTCTTAGAATCTAAAGGGCTTACTTCGTCGTGCGAGCTTTGAGCACACTTATGAGCAGGTTCCGGGTCGAAACTTCTAGTCCTTGGGTGCTGAGTAACCCAAAGGCATGCATGCTTCCCAAAAGAAAGCATGAAAGCTAGATCTTAACAGAAGAAATGACTAAAAGAAGACATAAACACGCGCAAATACATAGTCAACAAGCAGGGACCGCTTATCACTACAACAAGGACAATCACGTATGCATGAGCGAAACACATTAACCACACATCAAACGCAAAAAACACCCAAACCCTTCAACCCCTACACCCTAAAACCCTAACCGTTAAACCCAAACCCCCTAAACCCTAAACCCCCCTAAACCCTAAACCCCTGAAGCCCTAAAACTCTAAACCCAAACCCCTAAAATCCTAAACCCAAACCAAAACCCGTAGACCCTAAACCCCTAAAACCCTAAACCCCTAAACCCAAACCCCTAAAACCCTGAAACTCTCTGAAATGAACCGAAGCGGGCGCCGGCCGGGCCTTGAGACAGGCCGCGCGCTCGGCAGCGAGGGCCTCGCTGCGACTCTTCTCCTGCTCCAAGGCGTCCTGGGGATTTTCTAGTCATGTCTATACATACATATATACATGGGCTCTTCTGTACATATGCTGGCATAGAGTTCCTTTTTTTAAATAAAAACCCTCTATGCTCCAAGGCGTCCTGGGCCGTTCGAGCTGGCATGCACATGCTACCTAATGCGTTAATACATGTATGTATGCATGCATGTATGTAGGTATATACACACATCTATCAAGCGAAGAGTTTTAACAAAGTTCAATGAACAAACACATAGATAATCAATGTTCGTATACACATGTATACGTTATACGTGTATACCTACCTGCCTCTCTCTCTCTCTCTCGCTCTCCCTCTCTCTCTATATATACATCTATATATATATATATATATATATATATATTTGTTCATCAGCCGATTTCTGTGTGATCGAACCCCGACTACACATGCGAACACATCTACAACTACACATGTCTCTATAAGCATAACTACACATATTAGTGCAAAATAGTCACGCCTATTCATACATATGTATATGTATATATAATTTACACTCATGCTTCTCAACGTCTGCTTGGCCTTTGCGTTTCTGGTAGCTGGCCGCTGTGCCTTTGGCCCAAAACCAAAACCCTCAAGCCGTATACCTTAAACTCCTAAACCGTAAGGCCTTGAATCGAACACCATAGTGCCCGAAAAGTCGTAACCTAAACCCTAAACCACAAAGCACCGAGGCCCTACAGGCCCCTAAACTCCCAAATTCACTCAACTGCCGATTGAAACCCCAAGGGAGGTCCTTGAAGTGAGTGCAGACGGCCTGGAGCAGGGATGCAAGGCATACCTACCTACTCTCCCTCTCTCCCTCTCTCCCTCTCTCCCTCTCTCCCTCTCTCCCTCTCTCCCTCTCTCCCTCTCTCCCTCTCTCCCTCTCTCCCTCTCTCCCGCTCTCCCGCTCTCCCGCTCTCCCTCTCTCCCTCTCTCCCTCTCTCCCTCTCTCCCTCTCTCCCGCTCTCCCGCTCTCCCGCTCTCCCGCTCTCCCGCTCTCCCGCTCTCCCTCTCTCCCTCTCTCCCTCTCTCCCTCTCTCCCTCTCTCCCTCTCTCCCTCTCTCCCTCTCTCCCTCTCTCCCTCTCTCCCTCTCTCCCTCCCTCCCTCCCTCGCTCTCCCTCTCTCCCTCCCTCCCTCTCTCCCTCGCTCCCTCGCTCCCTCGCTCCCCCCTCCCTCCCTCTCTCCCGCTCTCCCGCTCTCCCTCTCTCCCTCTCTCCCTCTCTCCCTCTCTCCCTCTCTCCCTCTCCTCTCCCCTCTCTCTCTCCCTCTCTCCCTCCTCCTCTCTCTCTCCCTCTCTCTCTCTCTCTCCCTCTCTCTCCTCTCTCCCTCTCTCCCTCTCTCCCTCTCTCCCTCTCTCCCGCTCTCCCGCTCTCCCGCTCTCCCGCTCTCTCCCTCCCTCTCTCTCTCTCTCTCTCTGGATTTCTCTTCGTTGTGTTTCTCTTCAATTTCTCTCTCCTTCAATGTCAGTCTTAAGAGCCACGAAACCTTACCAAAGCTTTTTGAAGCCCTGTCAATGGTCAGGTGGATTCTATAACGCAGCAGCACCAGCAGAGCTTGCAGATCATTCCACGCCCGTAGAATGTTAGAAAGAGGTAGAGATCCAACAACCTGCAATTCTGAGAGTTGTACCCTGTAAGTCTTTGGCCATCGTCAGCACCTAGTTTGTCGAATTTGCAGCTACGTGGAGCTATGAGGCGTTACATCTGGAGGCAATCTTGATATTAACAGCTAAAGCATGCACAGAACAAGCTAGTTTCCGATACCTAAGAATTTCCGATACATAAGAACTCTCATGGCATCCCCACAGCCCCACAAGGCCATATCATGACTTGCCACAAACACCCTGACACAGGGGCCTGAATAGGCAGACGAGGGCCTTTGGGGATACTTTTGCTTTAATCATCGGGACACAGGGGGGGGGGGGTGGGGGTAACGGGGGAGGGAGGGGGGGGTGAGAGGGGGCCTTAATGCCCAAAACAAGGACCTAATAGGGCCTTTTGCTTTAGAGACTTTGATGTCTTAGACTTCTCGGGGTTTGGGGTATATCATACCATAAAAAACATATAATGAGGAACCCTCCCAAAGCCCTACTCCCAATTATTGAAGCCCCTACATTATCTTGTTTTAAAGACTCGGAAGTCTTGGACTTCTCAGAGCAGACAAAAGGAGGAAGCCTCAAGCTGCGCAATCTGCTCGTCGGTGTTCCACCTGCTCCACAAAAACAACTGCACTTAATGTAGGGGCCTTAATAACTAGAATAAGGGTTGGGGCCCCATATACCATACATCTAATAACGAATCCCCCAAATAGTATAGGAAATTCTGAAAGGCCACTGTATTAGGATCTTAGTGTATATTTAGAGATTAACACGAAACAGCCCTAGCCTATGTGCAGGTCTTCTGGTTGTCATTACCTTTTCTGATGGGCCCTTTAAACGGACAACCACAAATTCTTGAATATGGCAAGCTTCCTTATGGCCTGTTGTGCTAAGTCCCGTGGTCCTTGAAATCGGACTTCACGGTGCTCACGACGCAGGGCTTAGACTGTTGCCGTAAGCTTTCCGAGTTTTTATTAGCAGACTTTAGCTTGACGAGTTTGGGGTCGGGTTTTGAGAGGTCACCTTAAGCCCTCAACCCTAAAACCCTGACAGCCTCCCCTCTCTAAGCCCTAGCTCTACCGAACCGTGTTTGAGCCTCTCTAAAACCATCTAAACCCGAAAGCCCCCAAACCCCAAGCCGTAAAGCCCCCAAACCCTAAACCCTAAAGCCCCCAAACTCCAAGCCTGCCTTCTGCCAGCCCCGACCGGATCACCAGCACCCGTCACCCTGGACAAAAACTTAACTCTCCAAAAAAAGGGGCTTCGTCGAAACTCTAGGTCCTACTGTAGGAGCCTCAATAATTAGGATAAGGTGTACAACAGTAATGAGGAACCCTGAGGCTCTAAAGAATAGTGTGGATAATTATCTAGGCCCCTGTATTAACCCACATCCCCGACTCCCTAAATCTTTCACCTCCAGGTCAAAATCCCTAAAGCCCTAAACCTGGTAGAACCCTGGTACTTCATAACAAACACCTTCAGACCTTTGGCAAACCCTAGTAATTGCTACACAGGCGCAATAAAGCCCCTAGCAAAACCACTTGCCATACCCGGTTAAATAAAAACCATACATGCGCCACACCTGTGTATAACCTCTATGAGTTATAAACCGCTCTTAGCAAACCTGATGAGACCATAGATCGCACTTGTAATCCCAACACAGCCTTATACTGTAGGGCGCTGATAATTAGAATAGGGTTTTGGGGCCCATTATACCATGATCATTCTAAGGCACCCCAAAAGACTATACGTCGGTAATTACTAAGGCCCCTATAGGACCCCCCCCCAGGGCCGAAAAATCACGGTGGGCCTATGCTATACTATAGCCATGATTAAGAAACCAACAAAATGGTATAGGTATAATAATTAATTATTAAAGCCCCCTATAGCCCTATAGTAGACCCTCCAAAAGCCGAACATCCCGGAGAGCCTCGACTCGACCTGGCTCTTCAAGCGGACGATCCTCAGGCGAAGTTGGGCATTGAAGCTTTCTCAAAACTAGGTTCCTGGGTAGCGCCTTTAAAGGGATCTATAAGGGATTACAAGGGTTCGGCTAAAGGGATCCACAAGGATACTACAAGGGCTTAGGGTTTAGAATACTAGGTTCCTGAGTATCTCCTTAACCACAAGGGTGCCCTCCATCCCACCTATCCGTTTCATAAGGGAGCCCGAAAGGAAGAAGCGCAAAAGAGCACTACTCATGAACCTAGTTCTGATATGGGATGCTGGGCTTGGCTTAAAGCCCGTGCTTCATGCAAGATTCGTGGTTGGATGTCTTTGAGAATCCAGGTCAATACCCAGCAAAACCGGTGCGTCTGACAAGGTCGAACCGCATCTAATCTCCAACGACTTTGGTCCTTTGTTTAAGGCACCTTGAAGGCACTAGTTGAACCCTTAGTTTCTATCAGCACCCTGGTGCTACCTCAGTCCGCTATGATAGTATGATAGTAATGTATAGTAAAGTCTAATTTTCGCAGAGTTTTGTATAGTCCATGCGGTCCCCCGGTTTCAAACTTAAAAGCTAAGTTCTACGGCGGCTTTCGAAATCGCTGCCAGGCGGCTCATCCTGCAGTTGCTTGATGAGATTGGCCTCCCACAGTTAAGAAACTCTGCACGGGTGGGAGTTCAGGCTTTAGGGGTTGTAGAGTTTAAGCTTCAGGGCTTGGGGTTCAGAGCTTGGACGGGTTCAGGGGTCAGGGGTTCAGGATTTGCGGGTGGATTTAGGTCGTAGGGTCTTGGGGCTTCTCTTGCACACGTTTACAGTTGGTACTGACATGCCTGCTGAGGGTTTAGCTTTTGGGTTGAGACCCTGCTTAGTTGCAAACTGTCTGGCTCAGCCTCTGTTACTCAGACCGCATCACGGATCTAAGTTGAACAAAGCCCTTCTTCCAAATACCGCGATGGCCTTGTTGACGCGGTTGCTGGTGACACGAGTCCTGCGCTCTCTACAGTAGGACGTTCGCAAGGTACAAGAGCTTTAGGGCTCAAGGGTCTTTCTTTCTTATCTGTAGATTACGCTGCTGTGGGTGCGCATCTCATGGTTGTCTTGATTGTTGTCTAGAGAGCTAACCACTTCGTTTAAATCTGGCTAAAAGTGAGCTGCTAGATAAAACATACAGACTGGAACCCCTACAACGAGAATCCTCCACCATATGTAGCTTAGACCTCTAGCGTGAACTCTGAACCTTTAACCGTCAGCCCTAACCCTAAACAGTGCAACCCCAAATCCTGAGTTGTCTGAGTGGACCCTGAACCAAAGTAAAGTGATTCCTGTACTTTGCATCGCCAACGTGTAGTCTAAACCCTGCACGGCTAAATTGCCTCCTAAACCGTAAACTCTCCGGCGGTGAACCTCGACACCTCCTACCCAAAAACACTTTGGCTTAAGGCAGACCTTACGGAAAGAGTCAATGGGTTCCTGAACCCGCGAAACTCTGAATCCCCATACCCGTACAGAAACCCTGGCATTTGCACTCGACTGGAGACGAGTGAAGATCTTCTTTTGCTCGAGCGAGGTTCCCAGCAGTTTTAAAGGGCACCCTGTTCCCGATATTTTAAATGTTAAGCAGGAAAGCCCCAAGGCAAATCAGGGTAAACAGGTGCTACTGGCGGCACTGGGCGGAGCATCTGCCACCCAACTTTCGAACCCTACAATCTCGGAACCCTCGGAACCCTCGGAGCCCTCGGAGCCCCGAGCCCAAAGCCTGGAACCGGAGAGCCCGACTGTTCGCCATACTAGTAGAAGGTTGAGCCCATAAGTACCTCGCAAAACGGAACCGGCCGGCGAACCACAGGCGCGCCAGTCTCTGTCTCAGAAGCCTTAAAACCGAACCCCAGCCTCAACCAAGAACCCTTTTACCCCTGAAGCTTTATAACCGTAACACACCCCTAAACCTAAATCCTACCACCCCCTCTACAACACCCTACTGCACGAAACCCCCAAAAGCGCTCAACGCACCTTTTTTCTCAGAAGCTTTCGTCCCTTGGGCTGTCCGGGGGCGTGTGGAAATCAAGCTGGGCCTCGGCAGCCGAAAGGGGCAGGGGGCTTCTCTTCCTTTTCATCAGTGCTTAAGGTTCTGCAGGGTTTAGAGTTTTTGGTTTGGGGTCTCGAGTTTTAAGGTTTAGGGCTCTGTAGGGTTTTACAACGAGACGATCTCCCGAGCTTGTGGGCCCCCAGGGCGTATGCAATGCTTTCTGGCTGGTTTAAGCCTTCAGGACTTCAGAGGCTGAAAGTTCCTGACTGCAGTTTGGAGTGTTTAGGGTTGAGTTATGAAGCTTATGCGTTTAGCTCTTCGGGGCATCTTGCTCAGCACCACCTCCAAGTCCAAAACCCAGCATCGACTGGCCGATCCGGTATAAAGAACCGAAGCTCGATGCCTAGAAGGCCGAAGCCCAGAGCCCAATAATATAGAGGCTTTAATAGTTAGAATTAGGTTTTGGGGCCCATCATGCTAGAGTTATAATGAGGAGCCAGCAAAACAGTATTGCAAAATTGTTTAAGCCATAAAATATAACCCCCCCCGAAAACAAGCCAACAGAAGGTGCGGACGGCCTCTGGCACCGGGTTTGCAGATGTCGGTTTGGGCCTCGGCTCGCGTCGTCAACCACTTGAGAAACTCGGGCTTCAGAAAGCTAGGGCTCCTAAGTTAGGGGATGTTAGGGATCAGCATGATATGCATCCTACTGCTCAGGGTCCATAAGACGGCCTCCATGTCTTCTGAAGCTTAGAGACTACTCACGGGTACCATGGATGAGCACGTCTGGATTCGATCGGAGGACTTTCGTGTTCAAGGAGCTACGTACATCTAGTGGAGATCATAAGCCGATGCGTGGATGAGTACGAGTGTGTGAGATAGCGAAAGCAATTGACGGACATATGGTCTGCTCCATTTTACCGCTGAGCTTGCAGGCAGATTTTCATGTTGCTGTATCGTCAAACCCAACCATCTCAGGTGAGGTTGGGTAACTGCAAGACGGTCTTCCAAGCAACCAAGATCAAGTGCCACCTCATGCACCCTTTGGAACTTTTTACAGAAGGATGCTAGCAGGTCGCTAGCGCACTGCCGAAGTTCGAGCACAGTTCGTGCATCTTCCAGGCGATCCAAGCACACAAGCACCCTCGATGTGCTTTAGAGCACCGTGGGTTCAGGCTTCGGTGCCGCAGGGTGGCTGAAGGCTCCGACAAGAAGCTTGGCAGAGCAGTTGCTCTGAATGTGTAAGTTTGACCTGATTGCAGAATGATTCACACAGCTTTCGAGCTTGTCCCTTTGCTGGTCCCGTCTACTTCTGGTCAACTGCGTCATTGCAACAATGATCCTCGGCAGGTGCTGCACCTCAAAGAAACCCAGCACGACCCCAAACATGCAACACCTTCGCGAGTGACCACTGCGAAGACCCGCTGACCTCTCCTTTTGCATGGCGGCTGTGGTCTGGCGTGTTAAACTCAACGGCAGTCAGGACGCAGTTTCCGTTGACATAGCCTAGGTTGTTGTCCAGGCGCTCCAAAGACATGACCCAGTCATTGTGCGGAGACATGTATTGCAAGGGCACTCCAGAATAGAAGCAGCGCCCCCGCTGCTGCAGCAAAATTCGTAGAATGTCGGTGTAATCTATGTCGAAATCCTGGTGTCGATTCAAAGATCGCACACGTGCATTTCCGACTAAACTCTTCGACCTGCCGCGTAATGTTCTGAAGTATTTGTAGCTGTATGAAGCAGAAGAAGTCCCAGACAGGAAAGGCCTTCGGAAAGCATGCATGACGTGCTTCTGGAGCATGTCCAGGTCCACGATCGAGCTGAAGGCATTGCAGACAAAACGAAATTTTTCTGCAGACCACTGTGCTGAGCTTTGAACCTCCTCCTCCCTCACACCATGGGCCCTGCTATAATCAGAGGAATTGAACTCACCGGCTACCAAGGCACAATTTTGGCGCGAATAGCCTTCGGAATTGTTTAAACGTTCCAAGGACATGCGCCAGTTGGAATTGGGGAGTATGATCTCCATAGGAACTCTGGAATAATGGCAGCGCCCATCCTGCTCAAGCAGCATGTCAAGAATGTCATCTCGGTCTATGCTGCAATGCAACCCTTTGGCTCCAGACCTTCTCCTTGCTGCACTGACCAGGACATTTGCATTTCCGCGCAATGTACGACGATATTCAAGGATTTTGGCCGAGCAGCAGATCTTACACATACACTTGCCCTTGTGAAATACATCTTGGGGAAAGTACTTTCCGCAAGAAGTACATGGCATCTCGCCATGCTGATTAGCTTTCCTGCTTGGAACGTTGCCACGGCCTCCTCGTGACTTTGCATGGCGTGCTTCGTCGACGAAGTGTGACAGCTGGCTGAGGTACTCCAGCGGAGGTGCCGCACTCTCAATGGCAAGCTGGTCGGGAAAGTGGCGCCGGAGAAGTGAAGTTGGGCAGGTTGCTGTGCAGCTGATTTGGGGCAGCCGCCGAACTACCGAAACGAGCATGGCTTTCTATCGAGCCTTCTCGACAGGCCTCACAGCACCGGCCTTGCAACAACACCCATCGGTAAGCGCCTCGTCACAGGCAGGACGATGTATTCAATCACCCAGAGCTCTGAACTCTCAAGAAACACAACACCTTAAGCCCAACCACCAGTACCAAACGGTCTGTCACCACATCCGAACTTCCTGCTGCCGTGCTACATCAGCCCGGGTATGGTGAGGAGCTGGAGACGCATGGAAACCTCAAGGCTTCGGACACGCATTTTTTGGCTGAAAGTTTCAGTTCAAGACAGGAACTTAGCGGCGCAGGCGGTAGAGTTGCATATTGTGCGTTGGGCTTCGGCTCACTGTCCCAATCTGCGAGTCTCTGCAGTGGGCAGCTACAACACAAGGCATGATAAGTTGACCCAATTTTGCCGACACGTGTCGAGGTGCCACTTGGCCATTGTTCAACTGGTAAGCATCCCTATCTCGTAGCTTGTTTCGGGCTGGTGAAGGCTGAGGAGCTTGCACCATAACCAGGTGGAATACTCCGAAAGCAGGGTGAAGCAGTGGTAGTCTCGCATCAACACAGTTTGTACATCGCGGTCTGTTGGTAGCTTGTGGGCTGGCCTAATGAGTCTTGGCCCAGTTTCCTGGCGATGAGCCAAGCATCAGTGCTTCAGCTGCCAATCCTGAACGCTGAAGCCAATGCCTGAATCTGCAAGCCCCGAACCCGCGTGCAATCGTCTGCATAGAGTCGGTGCGCAGGACTGAAAACAGACACATTCTGGAGAATCCCTTGCTCATGCCCTTCGTACAAAGAGAAGGAGTTGTCTCGAACAGCACTAATTAAATCCAAAGACTTGCGCCAAAACACCAACCTCATACCTTGCGCACAGTATCCTGAAGCTCTCAGAAGTCAAAACCGCCCCGCCCAGCCACACCCTCTCCACACAAAACCTGCGCCCAACACCACAAACCTTTAGCTTAACGGCTTAATGTCGCCTCCAACCGCGACACTGAAGCTTTAGGGGCTCAGCACCCTAGCCCAGAGAAGGTTAACAATTTGAGATATAGTAGGATTACAAAAGCCCCAAAACTAGAGGTTACCTATTCGGCCCCTGAGGATGCCGGAAGCCCACTTTGCGTGATTTGTTCCTTCTCCGGGAGCGCGGCGATGCCGGCGGGCGACCCACCTCGCGTGAGCGGCACATCCGCCCAGTGTGGCAGCCTGGCTCTAGGATGCTCTTGTCAGGGTTTAGGGTTCAGGATTTGAGGTTTGGGGTTTAGGACTGAAGGGTTTAAATGAAATTGAGGGTTGAGGGCTTGAAGGTTCCAGGCTAGCGCAGGATTTTTGTCGGGTGTTAGTGCTCTTAGGCTTGATAGGGGTTTCCAGGGTTCCGAGTTTAGGGTCTTGAGATGCTTCTTGTTGTTGAAGGCTCCTTGTCTATTCATTCGCTTGTGGATTCAGTTTCAAGCT